CAGATCCCTTTGTCCTGTCGGTGCTGGTTCTGTACGCCGTCATCCTCTTCATCATGCTGCATCCAGTTGGGGCCATCGACTGGGCCCTTGAGGTATGACCCGGAGAGGCTCTGCTCGCACAGGCGCCCCCACCCCCCAACCTTCCCCTTGGCCTCAGGAGGAGTTACTAGGAAAAGCCAGCAAGCCCCACTGCAAATTAGGGGTGTGCATTCGGCAATAGCCAAACCGAAAAAATACCCGAAAAATACCTTGTTGGTATATTTCGGATATCACATATTATTATCCGGCTTTTCTTCGGGTTCATTTTGCTGTACCGAATGCAAGGTCTCTCATTTAAACCTAACAGGCTGAGCCGCCAGTCAGCTGCTGGGTTTAAATGCCTTTCTTTCTCTCCCTCCCCAAGATCGGGGACAGAAAGGAAGGCATTTTAAACTTCCCTGGGCTCCCTGCCTGCTCTTCTCCAGCTACTCCATGTCAGCTAGAGAAGGGAAGGGGGAGAGCCCAGGCTTTCCCTGGTCAATTTCACTCCCCGCTGACTGGCCCTGAGTGAAATTGACAAGGAAATCTGCAGGGGCTACCAGAGGGAAAGAAGGCATTTTAACAGGCCTCCTTTCCCTCTGTTGGTGTAAATCAGACCCGAATACATTCAGCAATACTGAATATTTCCCCAATTCGAATACTTTACTGGTATCGGACTGGGGAAATTCAGCATTTACCGATATTTTTGGGGTCTGGTTTACCCAAAGCCAAAAAATAACAGCTTTCTTTTTTCCTGCACGCCCCTAACTGCAAGACGCTGGGAGTCCCGTGGCTGGTGCACCTGGCATGGATCAGGCGTGGGAGCCTTGGCAGGAGAAGGGGGAAGGTCTTCCTTCCTGCACCGTTTTCCTAACCTAAATCAGCCCCCCCCCCCGAAAGCCACCGACTGTCTGCTTGGGGCAAAGAGCCAGGCAGCCGGATCCGGATTCCAGGGTGGCCATCGTGGGGGGGGGGGGAGGGGGGGGGAGGCCCAGCCCTCCACGGGGGCAGCAGGATCTCTGAGCTCGGCAGGCTTGAGAATAGAGCTTCTAAGAAGCCGGGAGCTGCTCTGGCCGTGGGACTCCCAGGGCCTGGCCTGTGGCTGAAACGTCTTGGATAACATTGGTCTGCAGGAGAACTGGCACACGCTCCTGAGTCCGCTTTCTGGTGTGTCCAGAGACATGGGGGGCTCTGATGATGGCACGGGGGCTCCCTTGCTCTTGCCATCGGGGTCACATCTGAGAGGGTGTGTGTGTGTGGGGGGGGCTTTGTATGGGTCTTTCTGTCTCAGCTTTTCCCGAGCGTGTTGGGAGGGAGTGTTTATGGGAGTGGGGGGGCGGTGGTCTCGTTTCTCTGAACCGGAGGCATTTCCCATCTCGGTGCCCAGGCCCAGCAAGCCGGAGATGGTATGTCGTCCCCCACCCTGCCCCCGCCCCCGGCCAATGCTGGAGGTGGCTGTGAATGCCGATGTCCCTGTGAAGTGCCCGGGGGGGGGGGGCAGGGCGTAGCGTGGGGGGGGCTGCTTCTCTGCTCCCCCGCGGTGGCCTTCCTTTGCAGCTGGTTTGCGTGCCCTTCCAGTGGCGGGTGGCGGTCCTCGCCATTGTGCTCCTCAACGGGGTGGTGTCCATCCTGGTGGAGGTGAGTCTGAGTCATCGGGGGCCTCGGGGGGGGCAGAGACCGGGGGGGTCCGTGGCCTCGTCCCGCTTCCCCTTTGAATCGTGCAGGGAGTGGAGTCCGTGTCCCGGCATCGTTCCTGGACGAAGCCCTGGTGCCTCGAGGCCCTGGGGGCGGAGGCCCGTTCTCGCTCCTGGTCTGGAGTTCCGCAGTGGGGAAAACGGGGGCTCTGCGGTCCGTGTTTGGCTGTGTCGGCTGAGTGGACCTCCGTTCCTTCGCACAAATGGTCCCTCCGCCTTCTTTATGTGCAAAATCTTCTGCTTTTGTGAGTCTTGGGGGGTGCAGGACACTATAGGTGCCCCCCCCCGACAAGTGTTCCCTCTAAGCTGAGTTAGTGTGGGCTAGCTCACGGGTTTTGTAGCCTCCGGCTGGCACATTTCTGTCTCAGCTCAGGAAGGATGTGGCACCAGAGCAGACTGATTTACACAGCAGCCAAATCCCTCGCTCACAACTTGAATGCCAATGGCTCACAAAGTAGGGTTTTTGCTCATAGGACTCCAGAGCTGAGAGGGAGCCTTGCCCCCAGCCCCAGAGGTGGGGGTGGGGGGGTGGGTTCAAAAGCGAACGCTGCAGGTCTGGGGGGAGCTGGCTCCCGGGCCCCGGGGAAGAGCCCCTGCACTTCTTCCTTGGCAGCTGCACAGCCTCGCTCGGCCCGGGAGCTGCATCCAGGTCCAGCAACCTCTGACTGGGGGTGGGGGCGGCCCCTGAAGGATTGGGGTGGCCCTCTCCCCCTCGCAGGCTCCAGAGGGTCCCACGCGTGGCAGGCAGGAGGAGGGGGAAGGGCTTGCAGGCCTCGCTTCCACGAGGGCTGGCCGGAGAGAGTCAGTTTGTTCCCCGCTTTTCCTCTTGGCTCAAGCGGTACCTGGAGAACAGCAGGGTCAACATTTGCTAGAGTGAGAATCTGCAGCTGCCCCTTCCCCAGTGCTTGTGAAACACACACTCACACACACACTCACACACACACCGGCCCACCCGCGCGCTCTCTGTTCTGCCCAGCTCGAGGCTTCCGTGCCAGCCTCCCCGCGGGTCCCCTTCTGTCTGCGTGGGGTTGGTGGGCCCCGCGGTTGCTCTTTGCTTGCGAAGTGCTGGCTCCCCAGAAGTGACCCCGGTCTTCTTGATTCTCCTGCTCCCTGCGTCACCCCACAGAATGTCCTCCTTGACACGGTCCTCTGGAAAGTTCTCTTCCGCCGGGACAAGCGAGGGGATTTCCGCCTGCCCTCCTCCTCCTCCTCCTCCCGCCCACCGCCACAGGTTGGAACTCTGTTCAAGCATGCGCTTTGTCGTGTTGCGGGAGGCCCCACCGGTTGGGTGTGGGGTGGGAGGCTAGATCTGTGTGTGTGACCCCCGCTCCTTTCCATACGGTGGGGCTGGGGCCTCCCCAGGAGAGGTTTGAAGCCCGCCGGGGTCCTGCTGGTAGCGATGGGGGGGGAGGGGTGTCTTGCCCAGGGAAGCTCAGAGCAGGCACAACAGCCCTGTCAGGCAGGTGAGGAGGGCAGCTAACCTGAGCCCGTTCGCGGGGAGGGCGGGGTAAAAATGCAAATAAATAAATAAATAAATAATAAACCTGGGCGACGTGAGGAAGAAGGGGAGCCCTTCTCTGTCTCGCAGTGCTGAAGGTCTGGTCTAATTTGCAGCAGGCTTGCGTGGGGGGGGGGGGGGTGGCCTATTTTTGGATTTCCTGTTACGGGGTGGGGGTGGGGGACTAGATGGCTTCTAAGACCCCTTCGGCCTCTGGAACGCGACGTACAAGTCAAACCTGCAGCCCCCGCAGTCACACCCCTGTGCTGTGTCCTTTGGGCCCAAAGGCACCGGGCCGTCGAGAGCCACCTTCTGCTGCAGGGTTTGTCTCTCAGGATGCCCGCCCCATGGGCACTGTGGCCACAGGCCGACCGTCCTGGCAGCAAGCCGAAAGCAGCTCCCCAAGACCCCCCGAAAGGGCAGGTCCACTTTCCCCGGGGAGAGGCCGTGGCCAGTGACGCAGGACGGCTCTCGCCTGGATCACATGATGCTCCGGCAGCCGGTTGGGGGAGGGACATAGCTCCACGTGGCCCTCATCCCTGGGCCACGGGACCACTTCCGAGGGGCCCCCCCCAGCCCCTGTGGCCTTCACAGGCCCCTCCCACCACCCTCCCATCAGCAGTAAGAATGATTTCTGATATAACTTTTAAATACCTCAACGTTTTATTTTAATTTTTTTGTTTTAGGCAAAATGTAATGCATGTTTATGGGTCCTAAATATTTATCTCTTTTTTTGTGAGAAAAAACCTAAAACATTTCCTTTGACCCTAAAAGTTCATCCCCCCCCCCTTCTGATCTTAAAAGAAATCAAGCCATTTTCATCCCCCCCCCCAAGTATCGTGGGCCCTACTGTGCCGAATGGATGAGTTGGCCCTGCCTCGTCCTCCGCCTCTTGGACCCGTCCCCGGAGCGGCATGGGATCGCCCCGCGAGCTGCCCCCCCCCATGTTCCAGGCAGTGGGGATGGGTGAGGGTGGCCCCCGCAGCAGCAGCAGCAGCAGGTGTTGCGTGAGTCCTGCCGTCCCACCGCCGCCCGTGTGCTCTCTTTGCCCTCTCCCCAGGACGCGCTGGACCGTGGGCAGAGGTGCCGCCCGCCTGCCCTGCCCTGCTTCCGGAAGGAGCCCCCCAAGGCCAAGTACGTGCACCTGGCCCAGGAGCTGCTGGTGGATCCCGACTGGCCGCCCAAGCCCAGCACCACCACCGAGGCCAAAGGCCCGGCCCACGAGAACGGCTCCTGCCCCATCGTCACCATCACGTAGCAGCGGGTGGCCGCCCCCGCCGCCTTCCGGGACGCCGCGGCCTGCTTGGACTCTCTGCCGCTCTCCTGGGTGGGGGGGGGGAAGGCGCCTTTCCCGC